AATATTTAATAAAATTAAAATTTAACAAATTAAAAATTAAAAATATTTACTTATAATTTTCTCGTTCTTTATATGCCCATTTTATATGCTTATGCCATTCTAATACTTTGATTTCTTTTTCTTCTACTGACCAAAAATTAGCATTAAATCTCATATCTTTATATTTTAAACATAAATCACTATGAGGAGTTAATTTTTGAATATATGGTAAAAAATTTTTCCAAATTTTAATAAATGTAGGTAAACTAATTCCAAATTGATCATTATTTTTTATTACATCAATATATTGTATATATAAAGATGAATAAATAATATCAGCTGGTAAATATATTATTACACAAGTATTATCACGAAAATTTCATCCTATTAAAAATTTATATTAATAATAAATTAAAAATTAAATATATTAAATTAAAACTTACTTGGTGATGACAAACCATTTTGTTTTGCAAAATTTCCTATAAAAGTAATAATTTTCATTACAATTTCAAATGATATTGCATTATTACTTATTTTACTAGTTTTTGAATTTTTACTAAATTTATATCATTTTCCACAAAATGTTCTCTTAAATTTTTCTATCTTTTTTCTCTAAGTTTATAAATTGTTCTAAAAGCATTTGAACAAATTTGCTTTCCTTCAAAAATATATTCAGTAGCAAGTTTAGATTTTTTAGAATTTCGAATTATTTCTAGTCGTTTAGTTGCAGCTATAATACCTAATAAATATATATCTTGATAAGATTTAGAAAGGTTTTTAAAATTTAAATGTCGAGATAGTGCTACAGAATATTCATATTGAGATTGTAAACAATTTTTATCACAACAATTTTTATTAAAAGATTCTTTAAATTCATTATTTTGTAATAAATTTATTTCATCTTCTAATTTTTGATTATCATTATCTTGTTTTTCAAAAGAATCTATTGTTTTATAATATATTTGATTAAACTTAGAAAGCTCTAGCTTAGTCCAAATCTCATTATCTAAAAGATTATCTTCTGTAGATTCTAAAATTTCTAAATTTTCAGATAAAGATAAACTATTATTTTCTGAAACTAAAAATTGAAATTGCAAACATGAAAGATCTGTTTGCAATTGAGTATTTTCTGTATGAGTTTCTTCAAAAATGTTTTTGTTTAAAGAAAAGCTAGACATTTTTAAAAAATAAATTTAAAATATTTTAACAAAAATTAATTTAAATAAATTGACTTTATATATATTTTAAATATAATAAAAATATATTGTTATATTTATTATAATAAATTTGTATAATTTTTTAAAACAATAATTATTAAACAATAAATATGCAATTGAAAAACAATAAATAAAATTTATATTATTATAAATATTGCAAATAAAACTAAAATAAATCTTTTACATAAAGAATATTTAATTTTTATTGTAGAAACTTAGCCTCAAATTACATATACGTACAATACGTATAGTAAATTTATTATGGAAAAACCAAACATTCATATGCAGATAGAGTTTAGTTAATCAATAATGACCAAATTCAAAAAGAACAATAGAAAAATAAATACTGGATTTAAACAGTATTATTGTATGTATGTCTGTACATGCATTTTGTGGCAAAAGCATTTGATTAACGAATTTTATCGTATTATTTATAATCAGATACATTGTTCTCATGTGAGCAATACAGATTTGGTAAATTCAATTTTATTCAAATCTGAAAGAAACTGGATTTATATCCAATAAGTTCAAACTATATATACAGGTTTTTATTCTGCAGTTCTTAAATGATAATTTAATTACTTTAATAATTAAAAACTATGCATGCTTACAAATAATACCAAACTTTTATAATTTATAGCTGTTCTCACAAATTCTGAGACAATTAATAAAAATTGATGCCGATTTGGGTAAATTTTTTTATCAGCTGACAAAAAAACTTATCGAAATCAGTATTAATTTTTTATCAGTTGTCTCAAAATTTATGAGAACAGCTGTAATAAAAAAAAAACGTCACGATACCGGTATTTTTGAACCATCTACTAAAATTAAAAAATTTTAAAGTAGTTTTTGAACCCAATCTAATTGAATTAAAAACGAGTTACCTTCCAAACTGTCATACGCCCCTAACCTGCGCATAACCGTCGTAACTAACCAATTAACTTGTTACATCTGTAGAGATCCATTCACAAACATTAGAAGTTTTAAACTAATTCGTGGAATTTAGCAAAGACCTTCATTACTAGTAATTTATGAACCCAATTAATCTAAAATTTTTAAGAACTTCATTACCAGACCCAATACACTTTAATTTAAAAAGGACAACCACTATTAGTAGTTTTGAACCAAATCCGCTGGAAAACAAAACCTCTTTATGCCAAGTTTTTGAACCCAATCCATTTGAATTTTTTTTAAAAAAAAATTCAATATAGGTAGTTTTTGAACCAAATCCAATTAAATTAAAAGTTGACTTTAGTTACCTTCCAAGTTGTCATGCACCCCTAACTCGCGAATAACCATCATAACCAACCAATTAACTTGCTACGTCTGTAGAGATCCATTCACAAACACTGAAAGTTTTGAAACAATTCATGGAATTTAGTAAAGACCTTCGTTACTAGTAGTTTATAAAGCCAATCCATCTGAAATTTTTAAGAACTTCATTACCAGACCTAATACACTTGAATTTAAAAAGAACAACCACTATTAGTAGATTTGAACCAAATCTACTAAAAAAAAAAAAACCTCTTTATGTAAGTTTTTGAACCCAATCCATTTGAATTTTTTTTTAAAAAAATCCAACACAGGTAGTTTTTGAACCAAATCCAATTGAATTAAAAGTTGATTTTAGTTACCTTCCAAGCTGTCATGCACTTCTAACCTGTGCATAACTATCATAACCAACCAATTAACTTGTTACGTCCATCAAGATCTATTCACAAATACTGAAAGTTTTGAAACAATTCATGGAATTTAGTAAAGACCTTTGTTACTGATAGTTTATGAACCCAATTCATCTGAAATTTTTAAGAACTTCATTACTAAACCCAATATACTTGAATTTAAAAAGGACAACCATTATTAGTAGGTTTGAACTAAATCTACCAGGAAAAAAAAACCCCTCTTTATGCAAGTTTTTGAACCCAACCCATTTGAATCTTTTTTTAAAAAAAATCCAACACAGGTAGTTTTTGAACCAAATCCAATTGAATTAAAAGTTGACTTTAGTTACCTTCCAAGCTGTCATGTGCCCCTAACTTGTGTATAACTATCGTAACTAACCAATTAACTTGTTACGTCCGTAAAGATTTATTCACAAACACTGAAGGTTTTGAAATAATTTATGGAATTTAGTAAAGACCTTCGTTACTAGTAGTTTATGAATTTAATCCATCTGAAACTTTTAAGAACTTCATTACCAGACCCAATATACTTGAATTTAAAAAGGACAACCATTATTAGTAGGTTTGAACCAAATCTACTAGAAAAAAAAAACCCCTTTTTAATGCAAGTTTTTGAACCCAATCCATTTGAATTTTTTTAAAAAAAATCCAATACAGGTAGTTTTTGAACCAAATCCAATTGAATTAAAAGTTGACTTTAGTTACTTTCTAAACTGTCATGCGCCTCTAACTTATGCATAACTGTTATAACCAACCAATTAACTTGCTATGTCTATAGAAATCTATTCACAAATACTGAAAGTTTTGAAACAATTCATGGAATTTAGTAAAGACCTTCGTTACTGGTAGTTTATGAACCCAATTCATCTGAAATTTTTAAGAACTTCATTACCAGACCTAATATACTTGAATTTAAAAAGAACAACTACTATTAGTAAATTTGAACCAAATCTACTGAAAAAAAAAACCTCTTTATGTAAGTTTTTGAACCCAATCCATTTAAATTTTTTTTAAAAAAATCTAACACAGGTAGTTTTTGAACCAAATCCAATTGAATTAAAAGTTGATTTTAGTTACCTTCTAAGCTGTCATTCACTCCTAACCCACATATAACTGTTATAACCAACCAATTAACTTGTTATGTCCGTAAAGATCCATTCACAAACACTGAAAGTTTTGAAACAATTCATGGAATTTAGTAAAGACCTTCGTTACTGGTAGTTTATGAACCTAATCTATTGAAATTTTTAAGAACTTTATTACCAGACCCAATACACTTGAATTTAAAAAAGACAACTATTATTAGTAGATTTGAACCAAATCTACTAGAAAAAAAAAACCCCTCTTTATGCAAGTTTTTGAATCCTACCTATTTGAATCTTTTTTTAAAAAAAATTCAACACAGGTAGTTTTTGAACCAAATCCAATTGAATTAAAAGTTGACTTTAGTTATCTTCTAAGCTGTCATGCGCCCCTAACTCGCGCATAACAGTTGTAACCAACTAATTAACTTGTTATGTCCGTAGAGATCTATTCACAAACATTGAAGGTTTTGAAACAATTCATGGAATTTAGTAAAGACCTTTGTTACCAGTAGTTTATGAACTCAATCTATCTGAAACTTTTAAGAACTTTATTACCAGACCCAATATACTTGAATTTAAAAAGGACAACTATTATTAGTAGATTTGAACCAAATCTACCAGAAAAAAAAAACCCTCTCTTTATGCAAGTTTTTGAACCTAATCCATTTGAATTTTTTTTAAAAAAAATCTAACACAGGTAGTTTTTTAACCAAATCTAATTGAATTAAAAGTTGACTTTAGTTACCTTCTAAGCTGTTATGCGCCTCTAACCCATGTATAACTGTCGTAACTAACCAATTAACTTGTTATATCCATAGAGATCCATTCATAAACACTGAAAGTTTTTTTTTTTTTCTTTGAACCAATCCATGGAATTTAGCAAAGACCTTCGTTACCGGTAGTTTATGAACCCAATTTATCTAAAACTTTTAAGAACTTCATTACCAGACCCAATACACTTGAATTTAAAAAGGATAACCATTATTAGTAGGTTTGAACCAAATCTACTGGAAAAAAAACCCCCCTCTTTATGCAAGTTTTTGAACCCAATCCATTTGAATTTTTTTTTTAAAAAAAATCCAACACAGGTAGTTTTTGAACCAAATCTAATTGAATTAAAAGTTGACTTTAGTTACCTTCCAAACTATCATGCGCCCCTAACCCATGCATAACCATCATAACCAACCAATTAACTCGTTATGTCCGTAGTTTGTTTTTGAATCCAATCCAAATTTAAATAGAGGTCCTCATTACTGGTGTTTTAATTCAATCCATAAGAATCTAAAAAGACTTTTGCTACCAGTAGTTTTTGAAACTAAAGAGAAGGTTTATTACTATTAGGTTTGAATCAAAATAACCTAAAAAAAAAAGAATAGTTTTATATGTAAAATTTTTTTTTCTAACAATTAAAGTTGAAGATCTACATTTCTAGAATATTCTATTGGTTTTCTGTCGATCTAAAAATCGATCATTTCTATTTTTAGATTATTTGGCTTTTTTAGTTTTTAGCATTTCATGGATTTTTTTATTATGTAATTCATTCTTGTCCCTTAATGTAATTTTTTTTGTTGCATACGTATCTATTAAGAAATCAAATAAAAAATTTTTTTTTGAAATGTAAAAATGGGCCTTTTTAATTTTTAACACCTTATATTGCACTAATATCAATTAGATATTAGAAGTATAATACAATATTTGAGTTATATTGCATAAATAAATTTTAATAGAATCTACAAACAAAAAATCTGCATAGTAAAAATTCTAAGTTTAATAAAATAATACAAATTTTGATAGTTAAGCTAGTTAATACTTAATTTAATAAAAAACCTGAGTATGAAAAATATAGATCAAGTAAGTACAAGTAAGTTTGCTATATAATATAGCCTAATATTTTGTATTAGTAGCAATACTAACTTGGCTTGATAGCTAACTAGATTAGAAAAATCTATTTTGTAAAATATCTAGCTAAAACTTAGAGAACTATATCTAATAGAGAGCTATAACAGAAACTAGATTTGTATAAACATCAACAAGTGTCTAATTCAGATAAATCTGTGAAATAGATATATGACTACTTTGGTAGAAATTATTTTTGAGATTAACTAGAGCTTTGCATGTCTACAATATATTAGGCAATATATATTTTGAGAGGATTTAAGCTATGCAATAAATAGATTTATATATAAGTCAGCTA